CAGGAACAAGTGTACGCCTTAGGATTAGAATTAAGTATTCCTAGCAGAGAAATTTTAAAATACTACTCCTCACCACTAACTGAAGGCATGCTATCGCCTACGCAAATGATGATACAAGTACAAGTCCCCTTAAAAGGCATTAAAGTTCGTGGCGAATCCTTCGATCTACAACAGTACCTTACGAATACAATAATGAAACATGCATTGTAGGAACCCCTTCAAATATAGTAGCTATTGATATCACCCCCAAAGAAACATGTGAACTTCATGATATGCCTGAACAAGCCAAAGGCATTAATTTTCTCTCTAAGAAAATAGTAGCCATCCCACAAACAAATTGTTTAAAGGCCGCAATTTGCATCAATGACCTTAAAAGTTTTTTCCAAAACTGTAAATTTCAATGCGAGCCTGGAAAGTCACAATCTGTCCACACCAACGAACCACAACATTATGTAGTAACCAATGCACTGGGCGAATTGGTACTCAGATGTAGCAACAAGACGCTAAGGAAAGTAATTCACAACTCCAATCTAGGGACTATAGAAATCTAGTACTTTGTGGCTGCGAAATCACTTCAGATAAAGTTACTATTATTAAAGCCACTCATGTTTGCGACGTTAAGAGCTCTAATATAGCAATCTCGCATACAGTCTTACCAGTACAATGGCTACACAATAATGAATTTGAAGTGCAACAGCTAAAAGCTAGTGAAGGCACTTATTTCTATTCAGTTAACGAAAATACTAATGACCAATGGAAAATTACTCATGCAGAACTTCCCACTATAACGTACTCAGAGGCGAGGTCAACATTTCATCAAACACACATGTTCTCTGTACTAACTCAGGAACACTATAATTATATCAGCTTTTCAACTATCATTATTCTAACTATAGCATTAGTATGGATATATTATAAGCCGATTAAAATAACAATATTATTGAACCACATGATGCAGGCAGCACAGCCGTAAGTTAATGCAGTTATACAAAGAGTCACACAGTATAGTAATGGCCTTGAGCTCTTACAATTGGTTATGGAGGAAGAAAGGAAACTATAATTTTACTGTTAACATAGACTACACAAAGGGCGCAAAGTAGAAAGTATAGGACGGACGGAGCTATTGCACAAACGTCGTGAGCGATTAAGTCTTGGTCTATTCAGATCGACTACACTAAAAATTAAGGTATACGATGCACGTACAAAGCTCTGTTAATAAATATTAACACGTGGTATAATATGAAGATTCTATAAAGAAAAATTTATATATAAAAATAGATACTGGTTTGGCAGCACAGTGCAGTTTTTCAGACGGGGCCCGCACAAAGCTATTAGTGGTACGGTAATTTGAGCAACACAGCGCTACCTAGATACCAGTATTACAAGCACTGTGGATAGTGTTGAACTGTAGGTAAAGTACAGCAGCTGATGCACACATACTAGAGCAGTAGAGCTAACGCACACTAGAATGCGCTCGACGGCACTTCACAAGCCACGCGGCAAGTTTCGCCATAAAACTGTTTCAGGGCCCCAATAATGTTCTTACTTTCTGTTTTTTTAATGTTATGCTAGGATAAGCTTCGCACATGTACATGTACATATCAAGAATTTTCAACTGTCTGTCAATAAGAATAACTGATATATATATATATATATATATTTATCATGGTAATCATTTTACATTTGATTATCTGTAAAAAAAACACACACACGCACGCACGCACGCACGCACACACACACACACATATATATATATATATATATATATATATATATATATATATATATATATATATATATATATATATATATATATATATATATATATATATATATATATATATCTGTGTGTGCGTGCGTGCGTGCGTGCGTGTGTGTGTTTTTTTTTTACAGATAATCAAATGTAAAATGATTACCATGATAATTGCATAAATTCCTAAGACTGATATAAAATCACGGTGCTATTGCAGAATGTTGTGTTCCTTAAGAGTGCTCTACCTTCTTTCCCAACCTCACATGTTCGACACTGGGTTTTAATTACATATTTTCGAATTTTAAGGAGGTTATACTTTCATAGCGGAGTCGAGCACATCCTTCCCGATCTTTATGAACCAACACGAAACAATAGCGACAGTCATATAGTTTAGGTGCCAGCACAATCAACATTAGGTTTAGTAAAATTTTACGAATTGCTGCTTTCTTACTTCAATTGTATATCAGCAACAAAATATTGTAACTATGGCCTGTCTTAAGCAACAACCTTTACTTACGATTGTAGAGCTTCAGGTAATTCAGTTATATATCTCAAAAGGTATACGTACATAGCCATATATGGCTTATTTACTTTCTTAATAATTTCACAGTTTCACTTGAGCGGCGCATGAATAAAGTGACGAGGCTCATGGAAATGTTAATTTTACATAACGCGAAAGAATACTCAACGTGCATATAAGTAGATCTTAATCGAGGCTTTAAAAGTGCTAATTTTACAGTGAACAGCCTATAACAGATTTTTAACCTATTTTCTACGCTAAAAAACAAGATAATTGTAATATCATAAAAAAATATAAAATAACTTCGTTGCTGAGTATCATGCTCTTTTGTAACTCATATACCTGAAAATTTTAATTAACAGTTACCTTTTGGAACACTGCGCACCTAGCGGCGGAAGTTTCGCCTATGGCAAACTCTGCCATATATATCACGTTTTGTTCCTAACCTGAGTAGAATAAACCTTGCCTGTACTTAGGAAACGCCTGCCACATTTTCGGAAATTATTCGATGAATCCACCAGTTGGTTGATACACCAGTGTACAGCGGTTGAGGCATTTTTCGAAAACCAGGTTGATTTTCAGCTGTATTTTCCTCTGCTTCCAGGCGAAAAATAATGTCATTACACACCAACTCGAAAGTTTTCATCACCCATTTGTAAAACTCGACGTCCGAATGACTTCTGTATATTTTATAATGTTTATGAAAATTGCGAGATGAGGGTGGGTTCACTTTTATTTTTTAGAGAAGGTGTTCGAAAATTCATCGGTTGATGTTTTGGTGCATATCCACCAGAGCAACCGAATTTTCAGGCCCGTTGAACTGGCGGATCGATCAGTTCAACCGGGATCAACTGAAACAGTAAATTTAGAACATCCGGTGTACAACGGTGGAGGCACTGGTAAAATTTCGAATACGCGGAATGAGTGATCGCGGAAAACCATGGAAAACCGGAACCACGATGGCCGGACTAGGATCAGAACCCCGGTATTCCTTAATGCGAGGCGAAATATTTACCACTGTGCTATTTCATTCAGTATGTCCCAGTTATATTTAAGAAATGAATATTGCCATCAATAATTATCATTGTAACAATAGGGCAAGCGGTGGCGCAGTGGCTAGAGCTCCCCCCCCCCCCCCCCGTGATCGTGATGGACGATGCTGCTTGTTGGCGGGTTTTCTCGGGGTGCCCCCGCTTCCCGCGCCCTTGCATTCCAGCGCCGCTCCATCCTAGGGTCTCACTTCCTGTCATGTTCAGGGATGACGGGCACCTACGGGTCCCAGTTGGAAAGCCAGTCACTCGGAGGGTGTTGCCTCGCCGTGGGTCCAACCCCATACGCATCTATTAATTTTATTATCGTAACAATGTTATATATTAGATTATTTATTATTCTAATGTTAGGTGGAAACTTTATAATTTTTTTCCATGAAGAAGCATGTATTATTTTAAGAACTCGAGTGTTTAATTTTAAAAATACGACTTCACATCTATCTGGTATCAGCGAAATCACGTTGTATAGCCAACAGTAGAACTTCACTAGAAATGTTGAACACCCTGAAGTTCAATTAAAAACTTTACGAAATGCGAAATGAAAAATTTCAAAAGCGAAATCCAAACGAACTGAAACATGAAATTAGAGATGGGGGTGAATTAAGGTATGGAGCAGCGCCGGAATACAAAGACGGAGGGAAAACGGGAGGTCGCCGAGAAACGCTGCTGACTAGAGGCATCGTCCGGCACGATTCCCACATGCGAAAATACGGGAGTGACCCCGCCGGGAATCGAATCCGGTTCGCCTTGGTTTCAGATAGAGTTTAGTGAAATCATTAACGCTCTTTGTATTCAAATGTTCGTATCACTAGAAAAAGCTTCTTATTTAGGAAACTACGTATATATGCTATGATACGTAAATGATATCTTTAAATTTATACGCACGCTATGTTTAGTTTTTATGTCAAAGGAATAAATTAGTCAACTTCGTGATATGTATTTACAGTACACTATTAGATGGTAACGCTATTTAAAAAATTCAGCAATATTAAGAAAGGTATTTTGAAAACCCGATCGAACAAATACACCAGGAGTAAAATATGACTATAAGATAAGAATAAGAATGCACAGACTTTGAGTAAAAAAATGTTTTGAAATAGTTAATAACACGTTTTTATGAAATTAGAATCTATTTTTACGAATCAGTTCTCTTCCTTCAAAATTTAATTTTTTTTTTTTTACTATGAAAAGTTAGCCCGTTGAGTAAATAAAATTATCTGTTTTTAAATTTCAGTCTTTACATTAGAAGTAAAAAGTTTTCATTCATTACAACACAAACGCCATATCGAACTGCTCTTGCTGTACAAACTTAAAGAACTATTTCGATGAGTTTCATAACTAATTTAAGTATGTTGAACAAAATAACATAACATTAAAATGCCATATGTATCACAGTAGCGTATACATGCTCGTACAGAGGTCTGTCAGGACCATCGCTATAGCTCATCACCCATAGAACTATTTGGTAGTTTGATAAAAGCTCGACAATAGCTGTACATTGTTACAGTAATGATACTATGATTGAATTTAATGATTTACAAATTACTTGTAACGGTTTGTTTAATATATTCTAATAAGAACAAAATGAGGACAATTTGAAACTTACTATTATCAAAACTAAATTATATTTACAATGCCGAAAAATAACCCTGTGAAAAATTTTTGACACTAAACGGCAGGTCCTACCGGGATGCGAACGCGGAGCGCTGGCTTCAAAGCCAAAAGTGCTAACCATTACACCTTGGACAAACTGAAGTCGAAGTTATCTCAATTAATATTAAATATATTTTGAGTGCCCTAATTGAATGTTTTATGGGCCCTATTGGTTACTAACATGATTAATTTTCACATATTCATCCAGTTTAATGTTTATGTATTTAAATTTAAGTTTCAGTGTTCCCGACAGGGCAGCATCTATCCAGTCTCCTATAAAGATTTTAGATACGTTTCTAAGGACTTTGTACTACAGTAAAATACAGATTAGGTACAGTAACTGCAATATGTTTCTTGTTATAAATATTACTTAGAATTTAATATTATTTCAGTTAATATCCGTTCCGATTTTTATAGTTTGAAAATTCACAAGTAAGTAACTAATACCACATAGATGGCAATGTATTTGGTTTTACGTGAGTTTTCAAGCCTTTAGTAAATTAATTCATGATTTTACGAAAATCGTGCTTTCCATATTCAGAATTAATAAATATAAGTAACGTGCTTCAAAAAATCGAACTAAAATTATGCTTTATTTATAAACTTTGTGTGGTTCACCATTATTATTTTGTCGTTAAGGGTTGCAAGGAAAATGTTTTCAAGATTCGATTTGAATGGATTTTTTTTCACCCTCGCTTTTAAGGAAATGAATAGATGTGCAACGTGCACTTTTTATACGCTAGAAAATACATGGAAAGGGGACATGTAAAATTCCCTTTCGTTGTCAATCTTTCCCTTTCTATCTCTCTATTTCTCACTACTTCCTCTCCATTGCTCACTTAACTGTCATTCCCTCCCCTCTCTCATGTTTTCAACCATTTCACACTATCAAATAGCTTACTGAATTCAATCATTGATGGAATTTAAGTTATTAAATGGCTTGAAAGCCGAAATGGCCGCGATTATGACGCCCGTTTGACGTGACACAGCATTCAAGGAATTAAATTTAATGAATTTGAAGAAAGTTTGAAGTAAAATTTGATCGTGTGAAAGAGTCTTTAGAAATATTCAGGCAATCCCTTCAAATTTTGAGTAATGTGATATTGTATAATGGGTGCTTTGAGATTTTTAAAGCGAGAAGCGTTTGGAGTTGTTTGTCCGTGAATTATAAGGCCACGTTTTGAGTATGTGTTTGTGCACCATATGAATCTCAAAAGCAGGGGAAAACACTAATCCATTTTACATGGAAAGCCAATGCTTTAAAGAAAAACACCTTACACTGAGAATTACACGAAAACAAAATTAGTGGCGAGGATAGTGGATTACTTTTCACACATTAATTTTATAAATAATTATGTATATATAAATACGGGAATATAAAATAAATTTTTATTTATTTTATACCTAGCTATGTACAGGCATATAAATATGTAGTATAAAATTATTTTTAATTATTATATACATAAAAATGTTCATATATATATATATAATTTTAAAATTATTTTATACATAATTACGTATAAATATATAAATATAGAAATATAAAATAGTTTTTATTTATTTTTTACATTATTATGTATAGTTATATAAATATGTAAATGAAAAACTATATTTAATGAATTTTTTACTTAGTTATGTGCACATAAATATGATAATATAAAATAATTTTTAATTTCTACTCACATATGCCTACACGCCTATTTAAATATAATATTATTATGTAAGTATTTGCGTGTTTTCTTCTGGGGAGTACTAGAATGTGGGTTTTCTCAGAGTGATCCCATTTGTATATACAGAATGATTCGCAGTTAGATCGACAAACTTTGGGAGGTGATTTTTCATGAAAAAGTAAAAGGAAAACATATGTGACACTTTATACCCAAACTGAATATTAAGGGAGGCATGAGCCCTTAAAAAACGAAGTTTGAAATTTTAGAACAGCAGTGTTACATAACAGTAATGTGACATCACACACTCACACTTCCCTAGACTATTTTCCAGTTTTCCTTGCAGGATCATATTTGTTTCTGTGGTTTATATACGGTTTCCCTGTTAAACGTGAATGTTATTTAATAAATTCCTTGTATACATACTTTCATTCCTTACACTTTTCCTTTTTTTCGTCCTGTCATGGACAGCTTTATTTACATCCACCATCTTTCTTCAAGAGCAAATACACAAATATGCATAGAGATCAATGGAGAAATAATTATCTTTATTCCTGTTTTTCTCAGTATGCATTGCATTTAGGAGTCTATTATGGTATTATGGTTTCTGCTATTTATGATCTCTATTCCAGTACAGTGTTAAAAGGACGTTAAGTCCTGGACAAGAGTCCTATTAACACTACTTGCAAAAACTGCAACTTATATATGTGATCAAGAATATCTTGGACATACATCCTGGAAACATCATCATATTCATCTACCTGTAATGACCTTATACCTGTACTTACATCAAACTGGACTTAAGTCCTTTTACGATTTCATGATTGAAATTTAAAATTAAGATTGTTCAGCTATTTGTAGGTTTTAGAACATTTCTGTAATTCTAAGTTATAACTCAAACGAAAAAAATCATCCTTTAAGATTTGTATTAAATAGAAAGTAAAAGTCACCGAAATGAAAAAAATAAATAATTTAACACTATTAGCTAGATTTAAATCTATAATGCAAGCCAGCATACAACGAAAAAATAATCTATCAGCAAAATATTTATCTTGCTACAGCAACATGTAAGTGTTCTAGAAATTACAGTAAGCTGCGTGATCTCTCAAAAATTATTGTTAAGAAATGTAAATAACAGAGATGGAAATAGATAAAGAACTAAAATGTTAACCTAGGTTCCCCCGGGAGTCGAACCCGAACCCTAGGATTCAAAGTCCAATGAGCTAACCATTACACCACGAAGAAATATTAAATACATTTTCACTTAAAAACAATGCTTATAAGCTGCCTCTGTATCAAACGGAATTAAAAAAACCGACTCCTCATAAACGTGGTTGTTTTCCAGTATATTATGAATCGTCGCAGAGAAGCATATTACGACCATGACAAACTGATTATCTATGCAGAACTACTCCACAAATTGTCATATCTGTATCAGTGAAGAAAGAGTCATGGATCGTCAGCCATGGGAATGTTGTATTTTAGCGAGAGAACTAATTCCATATCACGAAGAATAGAACGAATACTTAGCGCTATAAATTAAGACGTTATACACTTAATGAAGCAGCTGCCCTTATTTTAGACGGTAGATTATCTAAATATTTTTATATGCTATTTTAAATGGTGTTAATTGACATAGTGACGATGTCTATCCACCATGCCACAAACTTGTAGAAACTAAGCAGTAAACGTAACCGACAAACATTAGTGCTGCGGAACTTAAATAACCACTGATATTTAATTCGCCCGTACGATAGTTGTTATATGATTTGGCATGTGTTTACGATTGCATTTGAAAATTCCATTTACCTGAATGGAATAAGCGTAGTCTACGCAAAGGAGTATGCTAAGTATTGTGTTGTAAACAGGCCACTTTTGGTGAATTCGAAAAAACGTATAATTTATTCCTTTTAGAAATCTTTTTAAATTTGTTATTATATTATGCTATTGTGTTTCGATAGTCTGTACGTATTAATTTCTTATCAAAGTAATCATTACAAATGTACAATAGCTGCCATTCTTTGAATGTCTAATCACTTGTGTTCTAATTTTCTAAGAGACGTACACTGATCAATGGAAAAGTCGTGTAACTTTCCAAAAATCTTCCAGTGTTTCGAAAATTACTCAACGTGCATGTGTGTTATTTCGGAAAGTATAGAAATAATATTTTTTAGTATTTCTAAATGTCCTATTGTTTCATTTTACACTGCAGCATTCACCTACAAAATGCTACGACTAGTTTTCGAAGGATCGTACAATTTAACAAGCAATGATATTATTTATTTACAACATATAAAAGTGTTAATCTCTGCTACTGAATAATACGAATACACACTAAGTATAGTGCTGTTTTCATATTTTACAAATAGTGTTAAACAATTCTCAAGATTTTTCTGATTTTTGGCGCGGACAACTACATTTTGAACCATTGTGCGCCGTCCCAAAACTCAAGAAATTATTCGGAAATTTGCCACATCGGTGTATACATAGACAGTGAAACCCTTTTAAGAAGTTCCCACGTAAGAAGTTTTCCTGCGTAATAAGTTAAATAATTTTGCACCTTGTTTATATGCACGTGTGTAGTTTGACCCATTGAAGAAGTTTTCCTGGTTAATAAGCATTATTTTTTTAGTCCCATAAACAACATCTTTACAGAGTTTTACTGTGCTAAGAAACCGTGAATGGTGAGATCGTTTCCATACATCGATGGTAGCACTCCTATACCTGCTCAGTAAACCATAAAATGCGTAGGGAAGTTCCCAACTTTGTATAGTAGTGATGCTAAACATTCCTATATTTGCAGTCTGATATGTGATATTATTTCCATAACATGTTAACTTATAGGTTATAAACTCCCATTACTGTTAAAGCAGTTTACTAGAAATGGTTTTACAGTGTAGTGAAAGCGAGGCCAGGAGTAAAGAAATTTTGCGAAGCCCTTCCCTTCCAAACTAGTTAAACACCCCCTTCCCACAACGCAACCGCATTAAAAAACCATATTGCATCACATACGTATAATAAAAAGGGAATCTTAATTAAACAATTAAATATGTAACTTAAAGGTAACATATATTTTACTTTTTCAGATTTAGTATAACCTACGAACAATATGCTCTGCTCTTGAGGGCCCACACTTTGCGCCTAACATTTTATTGCAAAATTGTTTCACATTTAATAAATAATCATGATGGGATGCATGATTTTATCGTGAAATATATGTATCACAGCCCAACGAATGCTAAATATATAAAAAACATTTTATTGATTACTTTTTCCCGGGCGCGAGGCCTTGTACGACCGCACCTGTCACACACGATACCATAGGCCTTATACTCCGCATATATTGTGCAAGATGTGCCATATTAGCCGTTATTACGGCTAGTAAGTCACCCGTCGTCGCATTTCCCGTCTTGTACGGCCAGATTTCATATACCATGGGGTCTTTTCTTGAGTTTTTGAGACTTTATTCCCTTAAAATATTGCTTGAAATCTTGCGCGGTTTCTCATTCTGCAATTCCTGAGTTAAAACAATTTCGAAATGACACACTTCTACGTGGAACAATTTCGCTATCTGAAAACTTGGAGAGATAATATTCCGTAACCATTTTCGGCCGAAAATAGCATTCATTTAGTGAAAAATGGTGGAAACATGTATTGTGTTTGGCTGTAGACAAGTTGGAGAATTTAGAAAATAATGTTACCAGACGATAGCGTGTAATTAGACATGGAGATGCTTTTGATTTAAGTGACAGGAAGTTTGTTAAACTGTGATAATTGTTTTAACTTGCATAGTTTGCATTAAAAAGGACGTGAAATAAGATGTAAAAAAATAGCAAACGTTTTCGCGGAGGTGTTAGGGGCATTAGGGTGCTTCTTCAGCTCACCAAATTTAGATTGGAAACATCTAAATAGGTAGGGACTTAAGTTGGTCACGTGGGCAACTTGGCAACCTAAATAGTCGCCTCGTAGAGGTTTCGGATACGGCTTAAGTGATAATTCACTAATGACGCAACACCTAGTGTACCAGTGGACTCGCAGCTGAAGTTTGCGTGCATCTCCGATCATATTTTTTTTTTTCAGTTTTCAGGACATACCAATAGGAATTCTATCTCAGTAACTGCATTTGTACTACTATTAAGATCCACACAATTAAGTACATTATTTAATGAATCATTAATAAAGGCAGCAGAGATATGTGGTCATTGTGTGCAAAATTTAGACTTCTGGGTTTCAGTCACTTCGAAGTCTATACCATTCCCCTACGTTTCGACACACATTACAGTTCTCTTCTGGATACCTAGAGTATTTAGCTGCTACAATATGTGTCGAAAAATTGAAACAACGCGGCTGAAAACTAGAAGCCGAGATCCTCATGAATCATTACCCAACCAGGAGTGGCCTCTCTGCAGGTGACAGTAAGAATGCAAGAATAGATATACTACTGTTTCTGCCGACCTGGGAAAAACCTTTACAACTTAATTAAATTCAAATGTATTTGTTTAAGACAATTTTTACACCAGCTACGTTCTTAAAATTCTAATATGTACATAACCGAATTTCTTCAATAAGTTTGTATTTTAAGATTACATATAGATAATTTTTTGTTTATTTTTTATTCATAGGCCCTTCGTGTACATCATTTGTAGGCTAAAAAATTAATTGAGCATTATATTTGAGTAATTGTCAACAACTATTTTTTTAAGCATTCATCGCGCATTTTCACATTTTTGTGTATATAATCTAAGTGTGCTATTTGATACCTCATTGTAAGAACAGCTTAAATATTGCACAAAATATTAATTAAATATCCCATATATTCTTGATGTCAAAAACTGAACATAATAATAAGGACGATGGAACTTTACACTGTCCTATGTTTTTATCCTTCAAATGATAAGGATCTTTATACAAAGTGAATTTACTTTAATTGGTAAACTAGTGAAAATGTTTTCATTGTGTATAATTTATATATTTCCAATAAAAGGTATTTCATGCAGCTTAATTAACTATATCTTAGTTTGGCTGAAAATGGGACATTGGTGACGTATTACTTGAGTGGTTTGAAATAATTTAAGTAGGGACATACTTGTAGGACTCCTGTTATAGGTCCCTGTGATAATTTTTATACCAATTACCCTGTACGTATTAAAGATTAATATACTACTACTACTGTCGTTTATTCTTACCCTTTACTCAGCGAGTTTAAAATCGGTAGGAAAATGGTCCGATCACACACTGTAAAACATCACAGCAATTTTTTAAACGGCTCGTCCAATTCTTGTATATGACATTTCTGGAACCATTGTCAGTAGCTATAAACAAAAAGAGTTTGATAAGTTTCTAGTTATACGGACATTAATTGAACACTTCGGTTGCTTACCTGTATACGTCCTTTTGATGTCTAAAATATAATATCGAAAAGTTTCTAAACCGTGTTGTTGAAAGTTATAAATCACACATATTACTCCTGTCATTTTTATCTTTAAAACATGCTCGAGTCTCTTTTAATTCATACGTCTTCTATTTTGTAAAACGACACGCCATGATCGCCATGATGTTTGTTTATATGGTTGCTCGGTATCTACAAATGTATCCGTTGCACCAGACCGCGAGAGCGCAGCACCATCGCATGTCTCTCCAGAATCGCTGAGCTGTCCAGTACTATCTTTTATCGTATTTGTTATCATCTCTATATAATTGTTTTTCAAATGAAGATACTAGTTGTGTTGGTGGATAATCTAAATTTTTACCAAAGACATGGACAAAATTGGCATTTAATTCTTATTTTCATCTGTTACAATTTCAACGTTTTTGACTATATTTTGTAGTTCATGCATTAAACATAAATCTTTCTTTCTATTTTTTTAATATTCTACTTCATAATTTTTTTGAGTTATTATTTTTAATTTCTGTAGAATTGATTCGACTAAATATAAATTTTTCTGGATTACCTTTATTCATTCATAATTTTTTTTTCTAGATGAATTATAAAAAAATTGAAAGTTTTGAAAGACCAGCTATTTCATCAACAGGTTTAATTCGCCAAAAGTTTAAATATAACAATCTTAAAATTTAAATCTGTGTTCGTATTGGTGGTAGTATTTCAATTACAAATTATGCTTATGTATATGTACAATTTAGACTTACAAAATAGATACTGATAGATATAATATAAAATACCAAATTATAGTTATATGTTATTATTTATTTCCATTTCAATTTTCAATAATTGAGATTTCATAACA